AAACCCATTAGAGACTCAGTGCTAGAGGTTTTTATTGGGGACTGGTCACATGGGTACCATTTTAGCACATACCAAAATCCTAGACTCCCAGAAGGAGAGCAGGTAGGTACTCAGCATCACAGATTGTACAGGAAACCACCCTCACCAGTTAGAGGATGGTGGGGACACCCGTGAAATCCTCCTTCCCAGACACCAGCCAAGGACCAACCTGGCAAGCAGGCCTTTTCTAGGGATGGAAGTCTCTGGCCAGCTGTTAGTTCTTTTCTGCAACCAGGTCCATAGGAGTGGAGTTGCTGGGTCCCGTGGGAACTTTTTATTTAACTTTTTTTGCCAAACTGTTTTCCAGAGTGACTGTACTATTATAATTCCCACCAGCAACGTATGAGGGTTCCAATTTCTCCCCATTGTGGCCAACACTAGTTATTGTCCATCTTTTTGATTAATGCCTCCCAGGAGGCACTAATAGGTTTTTAAGTTAGTGATTTGCAAGCATTTAGAACAAAAAATGATGATTTGTAGGAGCCAAAATGGGTTCTCTAAGAATAAATCGTGCCCGTCTAACCCCTGATTTTCCTTTTAAAAAAACGCAGCAATTTATTTTTTTCTGTACTAGCTATGGTAGGGGAGTATTTTTGTGTTTCAGCCCTGTCCTTCACAGTATCTTCATGTACAAAAATGGAGACACGGGGGTTGTACTGATTGGTGGGTTCCTCACTTGCTGACAGGTGACACTTAAAATGCAACATCCAGGAGGAAAGCCTCTGCTGCAATTTCTCCAACGCTGTTCTCAGGCCCCCTGTTTAGTGTGTCTGTCCAAACCTCCGGGGGGCGGGGGGAGGAGACACAGATGGCTGTCCTATCAAGTTTGCAGATTACCCAAAGCAGGCAGACACATGCACATTGAATTATAAGATCTGGTTCCAGAAAGATCCTGACAGCACAGAATGGTAGGCAGAGTCCTACAGGATAAAATTATTAGGGACAAATGGCAAGTCCACGCCCACAGGATCTGGTCCAGATGTAACCAGGGAGTGTCTGCACTTTAGTTTCTGCTCATTAACAAAAGTATAGCCAACCATAACAAATGGGCAACAAAGTCTCGGGGCACCCCGGAAAAACATGATGATGTGTGGGTCTGCAGTTTCAGGGAATTCAAAGATCTGCCAGGAGGGGAACTGTTGAAGGAGCTGGGCTGCTCAGTGGGCCAACAGACAGCCTAAGGTGACTGGAGAGTTGGCTCCCCCTGTCTGAAGGTCTCTGGTATAAAGGCAGTATGAACTGTCTTCTCCATGGCCCATAGGGGAAAACAGATTTGGACCGATTAAGGAAGAATTTTGTGAAACTGTAGTGAAATGGGCTGCCGGGTAAGGTGGTGAGCACCCCATCACTGGGGGTGTTCAAAGAGGCATTACTTAATCTTTTATTAAGGAACTTGCATGGGGCAGGAGGTTGTCTGGATGACCTTTGAGGTCTTAGAACTGCCTAACACAAAGCGAGGGTCTGTCCACCTCTAAAGCCCAGTCCAGGGGTCACCTAAGGCACGTATCGCCAGCTCCAGAGTGAGATAGCTTTTCTGTGGTTCCTCCTCTTCCTGTGCCCCTCCCAGTCCTCTGTGTCCATCAGGACGCTTGGGTACCCACTTGAGACACACACTTGCCCTCTTCTTAGTGCCCCTGTTGCCCAGAAGCCTCTCCCCTCTGACCCATTACCTATCCTACCCAGGACATGTGTGGTCTACCAGTCTGCCAACCATCTGCTAAACTCTACAGCCATTTTCTTGTTTTTTGTTTTTTTTTAAGATTTTATTTATTTATTTGACAGAGAGAGACACAGTGAGAACAGGAACACAAGCAGGGAGCAGGAAGGAGGGAGAAGCAGGCTTCCCGCGGAGCAGGGAGCCCAATGCGGGGCTTGATCCCAGGATCCTGGGATCATGACCCGAGCCGAAGGCAGACGCTCAACGACTGAGCCACCCAGGTGCCCCCATTTTCTTGTTCTTATAGCCATTCAGCAAATATTTAGTGAGCACCTAGTATGTGCCAGTCCCTGGTTGAGTTGCAAGACATGCAGCAATGACTAGGGGCTGGGGGTGGGGGGACGACTGTATAAAAGCTTGATTGCAGGCTGCTGTGGGCTGTGGCATCAGGAATGTGGGGAAGGAGTGGGGGCCTGACTCAGGCATGGCTGGGGAGGTGGCCTCCTGCAAAAGTGCTGTTTCAACTGGGATCTGAAAGAAGATAAGCAGTGGGCAAGGAGGTAGAAGGTGGGGCCAGAGTAGCATTCCCACTGGGGCTCTAGCCCAAACTGTAGCTGACACAGGACAGGACACCGGGTCGGTGCTTGCTTAGGGTGCTTTAGGAAGAGAAGTAAGGACTGCCTGGCTGGGCGTCTTTTCCTGTCTTCTGCTCATCCAGTGCCCAGGTTGAGCCACTTGTGACCTGAGATGGGAGACACGAGTGTGTCCAGGCGGGGGGGGGGCGGTTTGAGAGCCACTCTGGCTGCCTTCTGAATCCAGTTCCAGGTGGCAGAGGGATTATTGGTGCCTTCGTTCCCCTCCACTGATGTGGATGACTGAGGTAATGGGCCCCGTTCCAAACATCTCCACGTCCCTTCAGTGGGAGCTCCTCTGGGAACATGTAGATACCTACGATTCTCCTAATTACTCAGGTACACCCACTTCTCTCTCTCTTTCTCTTAAGCAGGACGGGTTTGGAGGGGAGGGTGCCGTCCTCCCCCTTCCAGACCTCTCCTGCTGCTTTCCTGCTGTCATTTATGTTTTACCAGCCTCCTGCTGTTCTCCCCCACACACCGCAACTCACATTGACTTAACTGAGGGAGCCTCCAGTTAAGAGATACTGAGGGAGGAGGCCAGTCCCCCTTAAGCACTCATACCCGGCAATTAGTTTCTGTTATTGCCAATTCAGGATAAGTAGAAAATAACAGAGGAATGGAACTAGGACTCAAAGCCCGTGCCAAGTGCTTGGCATGCGTTACCATGACGTTTGCATGTGTGTCACATGGGAAGCCACATACCAGGCCGAGCACGAGGGTAGGGTCAGCCAGCCTGGGAGTTGAAAGAGCCTGGTTCCAGCCCTGCTGGCTGTGCCGTCCTGATCACTTCCACGTCTGAGCCTCAGTTTGAACATCTGTGAAGTGGACAGGTGCTGCTGGATCATTCTGCCATTTCACAGGGGGCGTGGGCCATAGATTTGTCACATCTCCCCTCCTGGCCTGTGTATTTGGGCCGCAGCGGCAAGCACAGCAGAAGTTATGGTCCAGATGTGCCTGGAAGAGACTGCTCCTAAGCCTTGGCGCCCGGAACAGCAGAGCATGGAGGATGAGGGTGGAGATGTCCAGAAGGAGGGGGAAGAGGCATGGAAGGCAGGCCGGGAGATAGAAGGAGAAAAGTAGAAGAGTGCCAGACAGTGTCTGGAGGTGAGGTGAGAAATAGAAATAAACACGTGTACCAGATCCGCGGTTCTCAGGGGTGGCCTGTGGACCAGCAGCATCATGTGGGAGCTCGTTAGAAAGGCACGTTCCTGGGCCCACCCCAGACCTGCTGAATCAGAAATTCAAGGATGGGGCTGACAGTCTGATTCAGTAAGCTCTCCAGGTGATTCTGATGCCTGCAAAGTTTGAGAACCCAAGGATGGATGGAAGGAGGAGTGGTGGCTGTGGCTTGGGGGACCAGACGGGGATTTTAGAGGCTGAGGAGGGCAGAGGACTAGTGCTTTTCAATCACATGCTGTGGCAGGTCAGAAACTGAGTGTTTCCAGCTACTTTCTTTCACGTAAACCTTTCAGGACTGGGGGCTAAACCTTTCAGCAAAACAGCCCCTATTATTATCGCATTTCAAAGGGAAGTCCACTGAGGCTCAGAGACATTTAGTCACTTGCCAAGGTCAAAGCAGAGGTGAGATGAGAACACAGACGGCTCTGGCCGCGAAGCCTGAGTTCTTTGCACGACACCAGCTGCCTCCCTGGGCACCAGGCCCCCAGCTGTGCCTCAGCTGCCTGCCCTGCTGTCACCCAAGCAGCCTGCCAGGCAGAGGCAACAAGGCAGCACCCTAGAGAGGTGAGCCGGGGGTCGGGAGAGCAGGGCTGAGCTCACGTGTCAGCTTGCATTCCTCTGGCCTACAGGCTAAGTGCAACTGGGGGACCAAGGCGCCTGCGTGATGTTCCCTAGGGACTGACATAGTTGCCTTAGTGTATGTAGTAAGCACTCGTGCACGGACTGGGGCACAAAGTTGATAAATAACTCATTGCTGCCTACATGTGCCAAGCCCTGTGCTGGATGCTGTGGGGGAAACTGAGGCAGGCGTAGTTTCTGGCTTTGAGGAGCTTATGGTTCATAGCTCGGGAAACAAAAACTGGTAAGTGAGCAGCTGGGGTGCTAGGGAAGCTGGGATGGCCAGGGTAGGTCAAGCCAAGTGTTGGAAAAGTTTGGAGAGACTTGTGGTGACTTTAGGGGACAGAAAAGAGGCTTTGGGGACAGACTTAAGGTTTTGGAGCCACAGGGCATAGGTTCGGTTCCCAGCACTCTCACGGACTCTGGGTAACCTTGGACAGATTACCTCGGGTCTCTGCCTCGTCTCCTCATCTACAGAACGGAGCCAATAATCCCTAGCCCAGGAGATTGCTTTATTAGATTATACCAGGCATCATTCAGTGAGGCGTTTCCTTCCTTTTAGAAGACCACTTTAGGCCAGAGCAAAGCAGGAAGGCTTCATGGAAGAGGTGGCTTTTCACTTTGGCACTGAAGGATGTCTAGAATATATTTAGTGCTTTCTGTGTCTTCTCTCAGGCCTCTGTGGGTAGACTCTGGGCTCGTGGGGTCGTCACCATGAATAGAACTATGTGAGAGGAAGTCGTCTTCCTCAGTTTGGAAGACTATTTTTTAAATGTGGTTTCAAATCCTGTTGCGGAGGGCAAAGCCAGGTGGCCAGTGCACATGGTTGGGAATTGCCATGCTCAGGTTCTGTTTCCTGCTTTTTCTTGCAGATGATGCAGTTCGCCTGGCAGAGCTACAAGCTTTATGCAATGGGGAAAAACGAGCTCCGGCCACTCACAAAAGACGGCTATGAGGGCAACATGTTTGGTGAGTTGGTGTTGGGGAGAACCGCTGCCCCTCTGGTGGCTGAGTGGAATTCAATTTTGGCTCTTCTCCCCCCTCCCCACCCCCCTCCGCTGAGTTGTGTCCCTATTTCCCCATACCTGGGAGGCTCCCACGTCTGAGTTCCTTCTGGGCTGTTGAGGCTTCTGAGCCTTCTAGATTTGGGGAAGCCAACACGCTTCCCTCTCACTTTATACTCTTTGTACGCACTTAGCATCTGTGTTTTAGAGCAAACACACTTGGACGTGTGACTGGGGATGGTGAGGAACGGAGACCTGTTTCCAAGGAACAGGTTTGGAGTTCTGAAGGACACAGAGGACTGGGTTTAAATCCACTCCCCCAAGCATAGCTCTTAGACGATCTCGGGTGAGTTCATGGAGAAACGGAACACGTTTCTGATGAGGTGGGCGTGTGTGCCGCCTTTAGGGTCCTGTGGATGCGTCTTGCATGCTCAGCTGGTGGATGGACAGAACTGTCACTCATCAGGGAGCGGCACGGGTGCTGCCTCGTGTCAGCAGCTCCTATGTGACCTGCCGCCTCACTTGCTCGTGTCTCTTCCCTTTCCAGCCATGGATTCTTCTAACTCGAAAGCCTGTCTCAGCTGGAGAGTCTGCAGAGTGCCTTATTGTGGGCACGGCCTCACATTCCAAATTTAACACCCTTCCAAGTCACCAGCTCTCCTCTCGGCAGGCCTTTCTCCAGAAAAGATGCCGGAGGCGGCCTGGCTTGCTTCCTCCCTGAGAGACAGGAGTTGTCCAGGGCTGGAGACAGAAATTCACCTGCTATGTTCCTCACTACTTAGAGACACAGGCTCCTGAGGTCCAGAACCAAAGAACCAAGCCAGATGAAAAGTCCCAGGAAAATCTTCGAGGCAGATTTAAAGGGATGGCCCCCACATGTATGGTCTTGTGGGAAGTGCTTGTGTTATGGGAAGAGGTACACGGGACCTGCCTTCCTCCCTCTAACCAGTCAGCATCACATCCTTTCTGGATGTTCAGATAACTCACTCCCCTTGGGGGGTGTGTGTGTGTGTGTGTGTGTGTGTGTGTGTGTGTGTGTGTGTGTGTGTGTGTGTGTGTGTATGAGAGAGAGAGAATTTTGGGTAGCTTCTTTCATTTTTCTGATTATCATAGAAACAGGGGGAAAGAAAAAATATCAAAAAGTGGAAAACAGACAAAAAATAACTCATTCTGCCACATAGATGCAGCCTCTGTTGAATCTTGTTGATTTCCTTCCAATCTTCTCTGCTTTTTTCCCTTCGATATATAATTTTATGTCCTCTCTCTCTCTGGCTTAATGTTACATCATAAGTGTTTCCCTAACTTACTCAAATTTTGTCATAAAGAATGTTTTTTAATGATGGCAATTATTGCATGGATATGCCATAATTCATTTAACCATCCTGCTAATGTTGGACAGAAGTCGTTTCCAATTTTTTGTTATTAAAAATAATTCAGCAGTTGTCATCTTTGTGTATAAAATGTTGTCTTAGGTTAGATTCCTAGGGAGGACTCCTGAATCAGAAGAGAGGAAGACAGATGTTTCTTTAACCTCAAATATGAAATGTGTGGATTTCTGTCCAGGAGCCTGCCTGTCTTTCTCTGTCTTGGAACACAGACGTTCCCCAACGTCCCTCATCAGACCTGGGGAAAGGGGGCCAGTGTGGGCCTCACCACAGTCTTCGGAGCTTTGGCTACTAGTGTAAATCTGGGATGGAACCACGGAGGCTTCCCCCACCTTCTAACAGTTTGCAGATATTCAGGGAATTGGTGGAAGTCGGGGGAGCTGATTTCTGAAACTGCACAGCATAGGCATAGCTGTTGCTCAGACCATCCACAGGGACAAAGGGAGCACCATGGGGAGCACTATAAGTAGGATTGGGCTAAGCCAAGTCCTGTTGTGTAAAATTCCTCAGGGCTGTCCTTTGCATCTCAACTCTTCAGTCCCTTTTCAATCACCAAACCTGATGGAGAAAGTGGGCAGCTAGAATGATGGAAAGAAACTTGGACCTTGAGTCAGAAGACCTGGGTGCAAGTCCTCACTCTGTCCTGAGCTATCTGTGTGGCCAAGTCTGAGTCACTTAACCTCTATGGCCGCCTGCTCATTTGGCCTTCATACTGGACTGCTGTGAGAGTACGTATGAACACGCAAAGGGCCAAGTATGTGTGAGTGATTTACAATGTACAGTATAATACATGCAGTCAGCAGTTGCCCAGGTGAGCCCATGGGAAGTCCTGAGGTCCCCTGGGTGTCTGTCTCCTAGAGCAGCTACTCCCTTGGGTGCCCATCATCCAGTGCCTGCAACAGTCCCGACAGTGAGACAGCATCTTTCCTCTGCAGATAGGAAAGGGGTCACAGTGGGCTTCTGGCCCCTGGGAAAGGAGGATGTGCAGGGACCTGGGGAACTGGGCAGGGAGAGCTGGTCTCAGTTTTCTCTTTCACTCAACAAATGCTTATGTACCACTTCCCGGCTGTGTGACCTTAGGCAAGTCATTTCTCTGGGAGCCTGAGTTTTTCTGCACAGTGGTACTAATGAAAACATCAGAACCCCAGCCTAGGGCCTGCCTGACACAAAACCTGCTTAATAGGTAGTGGCTATGACTGTGGTTACCTACAAATGTGTCTTATGAGACAGAGGCTTATGGGAATGCACCCAGAGGAGGGGGTTCTAGTTTGGGGTGGATCCATGAGAGGCTTCAAAGCCAGACTATTCCCAAAGATAGAAGTAGGTGAACTGGCCTGAGTTAAGCTGCTTGTCACCCTCCCCCTTCTTTTTCCAGACTCATGTGGGCTGGTAGTTGGCATATGGCTGGGCTCTGGCCACTGCCATCCTCAGTGACTTCACTGTAAACTGAGCCCTGCCGGGAAGGCCAGATGACAGCAGTGCCCCCCCCCCCACCTGGCTAAGCTGTTTGGACATGGGCTTTAGCAAACCCTGCCCAGGCCTGCAGGGCCCAGAGGGCTGCATACGGGGAAGAGTCACGAGTTCATACTGGTGCCTGACTTTGCAGTGAGAACATCAGGTGCCAAGCCTGGTCTCCTGTGCAGCATTTCACCAAATTGAATTCCCCTCCCAGCTGCCCATGAACCCCTTCTTGAATCCGTTCTCACTCTGGGAGCAAGACTGCTGAGTGAGGTATCTCTCAAGCCAGTTTTTGTATCCTTAATGATTCAGAGTCAAAGTGGCTTCCTTTTTCCTAACCTCTGGCTCAGCAGACCCTGTCATAAAATGTTCCTAAGACCCCAGGGCTGCGAGCAAGGCCACAGCGGGCTCCTTGCCTTGTGGCCCAGGCCATGGCAGATCCCTGCCTCTTTCCCCTTCCTCTGAGACGTCGCTCAAATATCCCTGTTAGCGTCCAGCCAGGTGGTGGGCAGAGTGTGGACTTTGGATCTAAGCAGGCCTGAGGAGAACCTCTGTGTTGCCACTTAGTAGCTGTGTAGCTTCAGACTGTGGGGTGGGGCAGGGCCCATGGTGACAGACTGGAGATGGACGAAGGCCTCGCCCGGAGCCAGGCCCAGAGCGGGCGCTCGATGGCAGCGTTCTGATCGCTCGTAAGTTCCAGGGGCAAGTCTGCCACTTGAAGAACGCATTTGGGGGCGGGGGGCTGGGGGGGAGGAGAGGAGGCAGCCATGACACAGCCGGAAATGCCACAAAGCACAGTGGCTCGGTACACAAAGGCCCAGCTTCCTTACCTGTAGGAAGGGCTGCTGCTGGGACTTGGAAGGACAGTAAGTAAGCCGGCTGAGGAGCATGGACTCAGGGGCCAGATGGCTTGCATTTGCATGCTGCTGTGCCACTTCTTAGCTGTGTGAACCTGGGCAAGTTTCCTAACCTTTCTGGGCCTCAGGGTCCCAGCTGTAAAGTTGGGACCACAGTACTGCCTGCTCACAGGACTGTTTGGAGAACTAAATGAGTTAAGACATGAGAAGCGCTCATATTCACATATCCACGACTGGCATTCTTAAAGTCAGCTGCTATGAGGATGACGTAAGGCTCTTAGGACAGTGTGGGCCTCTCCCATGTTGACTGGAGCGTGTCCAAGACCCCAAGACCCAGGGACCCGCCGGAGGGCTCCAGGGCTTTCCAAGCCCCGATCCCTCCTGCCCTATTTCCCCAGCCCTGGAGTGCCCATGGCAGAGCTCGTGGGTGGGCAGCCCACTGGCGGGCAGTGTCCTGTTCACTCCCTCATTTAAGCAGCTTACAGAGGAATTTTTAGGCAGCGGAAGGTTAAGGTTCAAGGCCATGGAATAAATCAGCCTCCCGCCAGGATAAGAGTTTCCGGGCAGGTGGTAAGTGACACCTTGCACTGGTGTCAGCTTCCAGCCCTGAAGCACTTAACGAGCATTAATCCTCGCAGGAAGCCAGAGTGAGCCATGCTAACTTCATCTTCCCTTAGGAGGAGGGAAAGTCAGCATGGGCACAGAGTCCTGGGAGGGTGCCACCAGAGAGGCCCTTTGAAGGCAAGTCCGACTCCTTCATCTGAGTCGGGCGGGGCGGGGGGAGGGGAACCAAGGTCAGAGAGGGGAGGGGACTTGCCCAAGGAGACACAGTACATTACAGGACTGGGGACTTGGACTCTGGTGGCCTGAGTCCCAGCCCCCTGCTCTTTGCACCACCCACTCTGAGATTAGCTAAACTGACCAAGGCCAGATTGTTGAAATGCAAGCCTGTGGTCGTGGCCAGATCACCACCAGGAAGTAGAAATTTGCAGAGCTTTAGTAGGAGCAGACTATCAGGAGGTGTATGGTTTGGGGGTAAAGAGCCCACCTGCCCCCTGCACATGCATCACACCAGCCACTGTAGCTACACTCTCTTGTGTCCTACTCACAGCCCTTGTAAGGAATATATCACCCATTTTATCCCCATTTCACAGATGAGGACACTGAGGCTAGGCAAGTTTTAGGACTTGTTTAGTCACACAGTTATCAAGCAGAGCCTTGATTACAAGGCTGTCAAACTCCAAAACCCAGTCCATAAGCCACTG